GCATCCTCTAAAGGATGAGCCAGTGGAGGACAGGAGGGCCTGGCGTGCTCTGGTCCGTGGGGTCACGAAGAGTCGGACACGACTCAAGAACAAAACAACAAAAGGGTGAGACTGATCATTCCAGCCTCTTTTTGAAGGGCACAGAACTTTATAGGCCACAGTTAGCCATTTCAGTCCTCTTTTTTTAATTGAAAGCTGAGGGATTTGGAGGAGATTAGAGGACAGCCCTCTTAGGTCCCTGGAGCAGTGAATGTGAGTCTTGGGCCTACAGAAATGGATATTAGGGGTACAAAGGGAGGAGGAACTCTCTCTGGGCTGAATGGAGAACTTTTGCAGGCCAGAATAAGTCTGTGGGCCAGTGGTTTCTTTCTGCTTGTTTATACTGTTAGAGTCTTTTGCAACCTCGCATACTGTCTCTTGTAGGTTTGGCTGGGAGGGACCCTTCTGGGCCAGGGTGACTGTCAATCTGCCCAGCACTAATCAATTGTTCCCTCCAGCTTCTGAATTCAAAGAGAGACATTGCCTTCCTGCTCTGCTTCCCCTCTCCCCATAGTCTGTTGGAAGCAGTCAATGAGTCGGTTGAGGCCTGTTACTGAAGAGCAGTCATGTTCTGTCAGTTTGCTGTGTGATCTGTTCACAACTGTAAGTAAAGAAAATTGTTTTCCTCATGCTCTCTTACACATGAGGGACTATGATTCCAGAGAGCTCTGCTCTCCATGGGGGTTCTCCACATGAATGGAGACTGTGATTTTTCCAGAGCGACAAGTCACATAAAATCCCCTTGAGTGGCAGATGTTCTGTCACTTCACACTCACTATCCTCCACATTTAGGAGGTAACAGTACTGACTGATAACAGAAGGGGCAGGACTAGAATCCTCACCTCTGTGAATGGGAATGTCACATGTTTTTAAGAAACTGAATGCAGTTGCTGTTCAGGATGGCTCTCGGAATCTTATCAGCCTATTGGCTTTCTAACTCTTAAGTACTGGCTCAGCAAACTACACTTCGGGCAGAACAATAACTGATGTTAATATCATTTCTTAAAAATAGTTTGGCTTCTTGTCTACTTTGTCCAACTTGAGTCGATGTTTTTAAGGTCATTGTCGGTTTGTGCCATCAGAACCAACTTATAACAACCCTTATTGAGTTTGCAAGGAAACTGAGATATTTAAAGAGTGGCTTTACCAGTTCCACTCCTCCAGTGAGTCTCCATGGCTGAGTGGGAATTCAAATCCAGGCCTTCTGAGTTCTAGCCCATCACTCTTTCCATGACACCACACTGGGAATTATTAAAGTTAGCTGTTCTGAAATGAACCTCCCAGTCTAGGCCATAGTGGCTTATGAAGGGCCTGCAAACATACCATATAATGATGGAGTGGGGAACCTTTAGCTCTTCAGATGTTCTGTACTTCAGTTCCCAGGCATCCTGGTCAGCACTGCCAATAGTGAGGGTTTGTGGCAGATATACAGAGAACCAAAGGTTCCCCTTTCTTAGCAATCAGCAGAAGAAATGGCCCCAGATGGCTGAAAGTGGCCCCATGATTCAGGCTTGTTGTGGTTTTATGCCAGAAGGAACTGAGAGAGCTTCAGCATCCCTCACCTACTTCCTTCTGCCTTTTGTACTCGTTGATATTGGCGTTGACCTCTATCATGGCCGTGGTTGCAGCTTGAAGGGCTCGGTAAGCTCGGTCACTCTCTGGTGTGTTGTCCAATATCTTTTGCAGCAGCAGTGGGTACTTCATGACCCGTTGCACTGGCATCACCAGGAAAAAGGTCAAGTCTGATGCGCCAGTGTGGGGCCTGCTCAAGGGAAGCATAAGGAGATCAACATATAAGGGGAATGTGGAACTTCCTGACCTTTCCCAAACAGCGCTGACTTTCCATTTTGTTTGACAGGCAGGCAGGAGATAGACCCTATGCTCGCTTTGTTTTGTCTGAAACAAGCATAGGGATACCATCCCGCAGATGGATCACAGGCAAAGGTGCTTGGTTTTGCAGCTCTGGGGTATTTGGAGCTACTGCAGATGTCAGTAAACTTTGGAAAACTTGGATCTTAAATCTGTTTTTTTCCATCCCACCTCACCCCTGTTGACCAGACCACAGATTATCTGAAAGGGAGTTGGGATCAGGACTTTTGAACCCTCCAAGCCTTGACAAATTGTAATTTTTATCACTATCTGCTGTACAGCAGTTGCATCATTGCCAAGTTAACCTGTGTACACCAAGCAGTAGGGCTGAGAGATTTTCTGCAGCAGCAGCACTGACACAGCAAATGAGGCCATCTGTGCCACTGAACAACAGGCATTTGCTTACCGGTGTGTGGGTGAAGAGAATGCAAACAGACAAGTGTTCCCAGAATGGAGATACCCCTAATATAAAAGCTTTGTTACTGTTGGGCATTTGTTTTCTGCCTGACACAAGGAATGCACAAATGTGCCCAGGCTGCTAGACCTCATGGGACACATGCCTTGATTGGAATCCTGAGAACCATCCCAGCAACCATTGCACCTTGTACTTCATCATTAATAAGTCTTCTATCACCCAGATGATGTTTTTCTCAAGTGCCCCTAAACCCATCTTATTTATTTTATATATTTAAAATATTTTCACCCCACTTTTCTCCTTAAAAGGATCCAAGGTGGCTTACATCATTACAAGACAATATTAAAGCTAACAACAGTGAGTACACAAATAGTTGAAAAGTTCAAACAAATACCTTACTAAAAAAAACATAAGCAACACCAAAATACATTCGAAGCAGAAAAGTATAACAATTCATTTAAAACTGCACATAGGCAGCCGGCCACTCAGGGAAAGCCTGCCTGAAGGGAACATCATGATCTGGCAGCCTAATTAAGGCATACGACATGGTGGCAATTGTGTTCTCCTCTTGCTGCTTCCCAGCAACTAGTGTTCAATGACATACATATTGCCTCTGAATATGGAGCCTCTTATGGAGCCACCATGAGTAACGGTCGTGGAGAGCCTTAGTCTCAGATTTCCACCACCACCATGGTCCAAATACATCACTCTAGCACTCCTGGGTCCCTTCAGAACTCCAAACCAATGACTTCTTGGGACCAAGAATTCTGTAATTTTCTTAAGCACTGTGGGAAGGAATACAAAAGGATGGCTATGAAGACTCTGTTTTTGGTAAGGGAGGCCAGAGCTGAAAAAAATGGATGCTGCCACATAGAGAAAGTGCATTATGGGTGCTAGGAACTACCAGAAAGCAACCACAGTGAAAAGATTACACACAACACTGTGTATCCAACACACACTCTATGCAGTCCTTGAAAAGCAAAAACTCCTCCAAATCTAGAGTTACCTATTAGCTGGTACAAAGTCATATACATCCCATGTAATTTTTGTGGGGGGGGGACTTTTGGGGATGCACACTGTCTAGTTTAGAGAGTGTGTCCTTCCTTGCTCATTTGGAAAACAAACCCACCCCCTCTCACAGCCGTGCTCAGTCACTCAGATAACAGTTCCCGTCAGCTAAAGTGATGGAGCAACCCAAAGGACACAGACACTGCCAACCACCGCCTGACGTCCTTGCCTCATTACTCACAGTGTCATGTTTGTTTAGCTAACAAACTCCCTTTGGGTTTGATTCTTCTCTCACCAACAAAGAGAGGAAACAACAGAGCCTTGGAGTAGATGCATACAGCCAAGTCAGTAAGAAGCTACGGGTCCTTCGTGTACCACAGCATGGTTGACAATCTTTAGTAACCACTTCCAGAAACATATATAGTACTCAACAATAGGCTCAAAAGAAGGAATGTTTACATCCCGGCTGGCTCAGCTCCTTTCACCATGAACCATTAGCAGTGACCTGACTAAAAGTTATGCCAGCAACAGAGGAAAAAGTATGAAGAGTAAGTATTGCTAAGGGCAAAAATAGTTATTCACCAGGCAAAATCTGTTCAAGCAGTGTATAGATGTATGCATGCTTGAAAGCAACCTAAACAGCCTCAGCTATACCACTAAGGGTAGTTAACAGAATTCAAATGCAACACCTATAGAACCAAAAGACTGATACTCACTCTATATTAAAAAATGACAACTACCCATCGACAAAAAACTAGCTTTGTCTTCCATTCGTAGAAGCAAAATTCTGGCTTGGATAATACCTTTATTGGACCTCTAAAAGGTTGCAAATAAAATAACCTGTTGAGTGTTTCAGAACTCTTCATCAGGCAAAGAAGGTAAAGAACATGAGGTTCAAGCAGGAAGTCCAAACATTGGACTGGATTTGATGCCCATGGCTCATGCATTCAGACCTGAAGGGTGGGCAAAAAGGAGTTTTAGAGGTGACAAAAGCATCACTTTGCAGCCCTTCAATCGCACTGAAATCAAATGCCTGGATTGCCTCACCTGCCACCATAGCACATCTCACTATTGTCTTCGGTGAAACCACAGATCTCTGTACCAGGGTGAACCTGGAGTGGACCTGGTATCAATCTTTATCTCAGCAGAATAGGAGAATTGGTTTAGGTACTGTTCATCGGCATCTTTTTTTCCCTTTCTGTTTGAGCCCCATGTTTTATAGCCTGAGTTCTGGAAAACTCACAGATTTGCCTTTTAGCTTTCTTGTGTTCCTATAAAAAACCCTGCCTAACCCACAACTTAACTATCTATACCCCTTAATTGTAGCATTGAACGCAAGAGTCTTTGAGATGAGGATTCTATGCACACTTGCCTGGGGATAAATTCCATTAAACTCAGTGAGGTTTATTCAAAGTAAATAAGCATATCTCAGGTGATGTGTATCTAGGGTCTCCAATGTTTCAAGACGTATATCTGAAACATTCGCTCAACAGTGATCACAGATAATAACTCTATAGTGTGAGATACATCCCTGTACAATATGATAAACTGCGTGTTCTAATATTTAATACCAGAACCCAATCAGTTGAAAACTTATTTACTCTGTATTCTACTTCTCTTAAGCCAATACAATATGTTTAAGAGAAGGTTGGTTAAACCTCTTGTTCGGTTTGGTGAAAAAGTGAAATTGAGTCAGTGATAACAGTGTCAAAACAGCTTCCAGTACGGTTTCCATTTTCCATTTTCATGAGAATTAACACATTAAAATCCTGGAACACCTGGTTGCTACCGCCCCCCCCAGGAGCACTACTTACACTGTGGAAGTCAAGGTATCCCCAATCTCCTTGTTAAGTTTTGGATCCTTTCTGTACATCTCCAGCAGCAGGAGCGCTTGGTCATAGTCAGCACAATAAATCTTATAGACATTCTCAATCTCTTCTTTGAGCTCTTGGAATAAGGTGCCTGCAACAGCCAAGTTTGAAGACAGTTGTACCAGAGAGTCAGTCAGATTTTCAGGGCTGGTGATTATGAAAACCCCCAGAGCCATCAGAGCTTATAATTAGGAAAAAAAATGTCCTCCAGTTTCAACAGTTTCTCTTCCAGATAGAGAGAATGCAGAGAAAAAGAAAAAATGGAACCTATGAGGGCACTTCAGCAGCTATGGAGGAGACCATCAGTGGCCAGAGTTGGCTTGCTAGTTCAGATCCTGCCTGGGAGAAGAATTCAGAAAATCTGGCTAGCTAGTGACTAGCACCCCTGCCTATCATCATCCACTGCTCATTGACCCTTTCTGCTCTGTAAAAGTTACCAGCTTATAATTCTGCACTGACAGTTAAAGCTGTATCAGGCAAAAAAAAAATCCCTGTTACAAGCTAAACAAGGGCTGGGCAACATGCAACTGGCCACTGTGCATCCTTCCCATTATCAACAGCTCAAAGTGGCAGAATGAAAAATTTATCCTGCCACATATTAACATAGGTTTTCTTCCTAGAAATGTAAACTCTTCCAAAGTTATTTTGCTATGGGTGGCATTCAGTTCTGGAACCACAGGAATTGTGAGTTGCCAAAGATTAGTGGCATCTAAACGTTTCATTTTGCAAATGCTTATGCCTTGCTTGATTCCTGTTTTTTGAACCAGGTGGAAGTTATGGCTGTGTTTGATCCACATCGTAACATCTGGTAGCACTGCTAGCAAAACACAAGAGTTAATATAATATGATGACTTAGTAACACCTGTCCCAAACAATCACGTATAGGAGGACTGATTATCACACATATCCCTACTCACTGATACGAAAGAGCTGCTCATCTTCCTGACTCACTGTAGCTTCAAGTTCTTTCAAGAAACATTTGGAAAGATGCAGGATATCGTTTATATTTGAGAACAGTCCATCCAGGTCGATTTCAGGCAGCTGAAAAACACAATAGGCCAATTCCTTCTCTGTGCTTAATTCACATTCCTCTTTTCCAAGAATGAGGAAGGGGCTACCCTTTGAACAGTCATCTCCAGTTGTCTCTGCTTCACTACTAAAATTACACCAAATACCTTTTGATGTCCTTTAGCACAGAAATGTACAACAGATTGTTGCAGGATGCATTACAGAATGCAATGAACCTTCATGAGCAATTTTGATACCAGGGCTTCACAACTTCATTGGTTAAGCATAGAAGGAGAGAGAACAGAGAACTGTAAAGGAAAACCTGGGCTGAGTAAACAATGCCTTATTAGTTCCACATGCAACCCACTGATTTTTTTTCTTCTGCCTGGGGGGAATAGCTGAAGGTGACATGTCCACTCTAGAGTGGACAATGTGGGCCCTTTTCAACAGCAAATTTTATTCCTTCTAAATTCAGTGCCCTTGGTCGAAGTCCTGGTCACCATGCCATAATTGTGGCTCTGGTGGCAGCTGCTGCTGTTCAGCGCTCACTGCCTGTCAGGAGAAAACCCCTAGCAATACTAGTCAGTGGCCACCTCCAGGAAAATCTCTGAACATGTAGTCATTTCCTCTGTTGTTAGGGAAAGAGCCGAGGAAGGGAGTGATGACAGGTTGTGAATTATGTTCTGCTGTACCCTACAACATGCAATGATTGTTTCCAAAGTGCGTGCTGTCTTGGGATATTTAAAATACCTCTTTGCATTGTCCCCTCTCCTCCTATAATTCATTGACAAATCATCACCTTGACCCCTTTGTCTATCTCCCATTCTGAATTTTACTACAAAGCCTTAAAGCTGATCACTTCCCAAATGTGTTGCTGTTTGGGATAACCTGCACCAGATTCTAAATATTTTGGTGCACTATGCCTTTCCAAGGAAATATGCTGACGAACAGGGGTCTTCCGCTTCCCCCTCTCACCTGCTTTTTCTGGAGGTGGCTACGGATATCTGAAATGCACAGCTGAAGGTTGTGCACATAGCTTATCTCCGTGTTGAGGAGCTCCTCCACCGCCAATCGCTGGCTCTGCTCCGTTTTGCCAAGCCCTTCCACGGTTTCATAGATATGCTCTTCGGCCTCTGGTGCCTCCTGGGCTGATAGTTCTGCTGAGTTGCCATTTGCCATGTCAGGAGCTGCAAAAGAGAGGAGGCGCCTTTACAGGCCGCTTTCTAATGCCCAGGCCAAGCCCATTCTAACCCTATAATTCCAAGGGAATCTTCTGTTATGTTTATAATTACAGTTTTTAAATGTAAATTTCTTTAGCAAAAGGTACATTTAAAGGGTACAGTAATTACATATTCTTTACATGTCTCCTAGGTTACCATCAATTTCAAACTGCCAACCAATTAACCTATTCCTATTTAGACTCAACATTGCTACTATTACTACCATCACCACCGCTACTACTACTACAGCACCACCATTTTATCTTGTATATAAAAGTTATTTAAAGGAGCAGCCCCACAAGACTTAGCAAACGACCCCTTCCGTCTGCTCCCCCTGCCTATAGGAAAGAAAGAAGCTGGACTCGCATATACGTACTGTAATCTACCCTGGCAATATGAACACAGTAGCTTTCTCAAATTCCCACCCACCTTCCAGCATAACGGATATGAACAGGATAACTGCACAGCAGGTTATGTGGGAGGTGGTGATAAAATATTCCTATTTATGAAAAGGGGGTCCACAATTGCTAGGTTTCTCTCAGTCAGGAGAAACATGTTCCATGAGGAGTGCGCTTTTGGAGTTTTACTTGCAACCTGATAGGTTTACATGCTGTCTGTAGTTTGTGTGACTGAGAGGGATCTTTCTGGGTTGGGGTGATTATCTATGAGTCCAGCACCAAACCATCATTCCTTCCAGCCTTTGATTTCAAAGAGAGACCCCACTTCTCTGCTGAATGTTCTTTTTTCCTTTTCGTTCCTCAGTTGGTGGCACTTGTTTGCCTCTGCTCTGTTCAGTTGATTGTCATTATTTGTGCAGTAAATTCTGGTAAAATTCCTCTTTTGCTACACAGTAGAAGTATAGAAACCCAGAGAAGAACAGTTCCAAGTTCCCCTGAGTACACCCCTTTCTCTTTAACATGCCCTTAAAGTCTAAATAACTTACTCTAAGACATTTGTAGGAGAAAGAATAAAAAACATTTCTTTATTTACAGTTGCTTGAAATTACAGATCCTCAGTTGCTTGAAATTTGTGTATGCTGTTTTTCTCTTTACTGCATTCATACTTTTATTTATTTGTTTGTTTGTTTGTTTGAATTATATGCCACCCACACTACCCAAAGGTTTCTGGGTGGCCCAGAACAATTTAAATACAATAAAAAGATAAAACAATAAAAATGCAATTAAAAATACAGTACTCTAAAAAAATGCCATCAGGACCCACAGTTGATATTATTTCAATTAAAAATTACTTGGCAACTAACCAAACAGATCAAGTGTACACAAAACAACTGCCTGCCACCAATCCATCAAAGAGAGGGGGGGGAATCACTCAGCAGAGAAGGAGAGCTCTCTTTGACATCAAAAGCTGAAAGCAAAGATGGGTTAGTGCTGGATAAATAGACAATGACCCCAGTCCAGAAAAGTCCCTTCCGGTCAAGCAAACTACAAGCAGCATGTTAAGTTGCAAATAAAACTCCAACAAGATATTAACTCTAAAATTTTCCATTTCTAAAATATCACTGAATTTATTTGACAGGTTCAAAAACCTTGGAACAGATTTAGTGCTTGGACCACATACTACATGTTCCTTTAAAAACTAAGGCAGTTATGTACTAGATTTGAGATGCTTCCTCTGATTCATTCCTTCAACTTTTGTCAGCCACATTGTCCCTGGGCTCAACCAATCACTAAAACCACTTGCTTTTAGGCCTGGAAAATACAATCTTGTGAGCCTCTCCTTTAATGTATTCACAAAGGCTTTCATGGCTGGGATCTAATGGTTGTTGTGGTTTTTTTGGGCTCTTTGGCCGTGTTCTGAAGGTTGTTCTTCCTAACGTTTCGCCAGTCTCTGTGGCCGTCATCTTCAGAGGACAGCACTCTGTGCTCTGGTGTAGTTTGCTTGGGAGTGGAGTATTTATGGCTGTGAGATAGGCTTTTGTCCCAAGCCTACTACACCAGAACACAGAGTGCTGTCCTCTGAAGATGCCAGCCACAGAGAGTGGCAAAACGTTAGGAAGAACAACCTTCAGAACACGGCCAAAGAGCCCAAAAACCCCACAAGATCTTCTTTGACATTGGGGTTTATGGGGAGCATTACAAATCCCTCCAACACACATACAAAGAGTCCCAATGATCATGGCAAAGCATAGCATTCTACTTGACTTCTTCCTTCCCTGCCACCTGGATGCTTCTGCAGTGGTGAGTCCTGTCTCCTTTGCCTTTAAACTGATGCAGAGGCTTAGCAATAGTTGACAGGAACAGACTTGATTTTCTGAAGAAAGCTGCAATAATGACTATCTTGATCACCTGGACTCGTCTAAGGATGATATTTCTGTTACTGCTTTTTGATCCCAATGTGTTTTTTTTTTTTTTTTTTGTCAGTGAGTTGTTTTAGTGGGGTAAGGCAAGAGGAAGAGGGTGACCTGGCTTCGGCAGCCTTTTCAAACCCGGTACCCTCCAAATTTTATTTGTCTCTGTATTATATTTATATCCTGCCTTTTCTCCAGCAAACTCAGGGCATTGCACATGGCTCTCCTCCTGCCATGCTATCCTTATGACAGCCCTGTGAGGTAGTTTGGTCTGAAGGAAAATGACTAGCCCAGGACCAGCCAGTGAATGTAATGATTTAAAGTGAGTAGTTGAATCTGGATCTCCCAAGGCTTACTTCCACACTCAGACCAGTATGCCATATTGCCCCCAAATTACCCTGCAATTAATAGAATGTCCAAATCTCTGAAGCTGTTAATGCCTTGAATTCTAGAGACTGAAAGGAGTCTTTGGAGAATTTGCAATAGGCCTTTTGAAAGACATTTCTGGAACACACAGCTGTTAATTTTAAACTGTACACTGTTTTGTTACAGGAAGAATGGGAAAAACTTTTACGGCAGAAAGCAAGCCCCTCCCATTGTCCTATTTCCTTCCTGCTGGTAGAAGGAACCAAACCCAGATACGTAGTTCATTTCTTGAATTCTGCTTAATGCTTGTTTCAAAACGAAAGAGAAAGAGCCACTGACCATATGCTCCAACCAGATCCACATGGTAAAGGCAAGGCCCTTGGGAAAAAAACTCATCAGAAAAAAACACATACGCTCCACACTCATCTAGAATATGGGACAGTTTGTTTTTCCTGCAGCTTCTGTTGATTCTGGGGCAATCATGAAATGCTGAGCCAAAAGAAGCCAAATAATGCATGCTGTTTTAAAAAAAACAATGAAAGGGGAAAATTCAAGCAGATTAAAACATTCTAGACTACATATTGTGGAAAGTTTGCACACATAGAATGAATCTGAACATCTAATTGTGAATCTAATAGTGGGCCTGCTGTCTGTGCATATGCACCTGCCTGTCAGCTTAGTGGTGGGTGCATGCGCACAGGCAGCAGGCCCAGTTTCTGTGCAAGGAGCCAAGCCTGCGGCCTCTCAGGATGGTGCTGTCGCCACTGCCGGCTTCAAGACAAGCTAGGGAGGGGACAGGGCAGTGGGAAGGAGAGGGACAGGCGGGCAGTCTCCCACCCCAGCACAAACCTAAAAAATGAATCACAAACTTGTTTGTTTTCAAAGAGTTCGTAATAGTTTATGGTTCGTGGGTAGCCACAAACCACGAACCATCATAAACATCGGGTTTGTGCCCATTTCTGATCATAGACTTTGTTGCACACAACAGGGATTTTGCCACTTGTTGCTTCTACTGACTTGCTCAGTTTATGTTTAGCATAATTGTGCCTTGGAGTTTTGAGGGCAAAGTTTTGAGGGCAAAGTGAACGAAATGTCAAGAGAATAAAGACTAGCAGTGCCTTTCCAACTGAGCAGTTATTTGGGAAGTAGCTGGTTTTCTGTATACCTGAAAGCCAATTTGCTACATTTGGGTAGCAGTTTTTCCATTCAGGTTGGACCCAAAAAAGAGATAAATGTCTAATACCAACACTTTTTCATCCTTAATAATAAGAGTAAGCTAGATATTCTGGCCTGTATAATATGTCTGCATCTTTGGAAGATGCAGCTGGACCTGAAAATCCCTCGTCTGCAAATCCCAAGTGTGTCAGATGAAAAGCAGTAACTGTAAGCCTTCTGCCTCACAAACTGGCATTCTGTGTGCTGCGAGTTCTTAATACAGGGTAGCAGCAAACATGTCACCTTCCACCTATATTCTGAAGCTGTATTTTTCCTAGCAGAACTATAATATCCTCTCTTTTCCCCCGCCCTAAACAAGTGGCATCCAGAAGAGAACTTGTATCATCCAGTTACTATCTGTATCTTTTTACAGAGATTGCAACACACTTTGGGTTGCCCCCATTTCCCCTAACACGATGCCTCTGTTGTTAATAGTTGCATGGTGGCTACAATCAAACACTTTCCACGTCACTGCAGCATCCTAGATTAACAGCATCTAATTCCTGCCTGTCTCGTAGTTGTTAAATCCACAGGAACCCAGCCAAAAAGAGCAGGGTGGGCAAAACGCCTGGCTTTATACAGTGTATGGAAATAGCTGTTGTTCCTCACCCCACCCCACTTTACCTCCTCCTATAACAGGCACCTGCCCTTTTCCTCCAGGAGGGAGTGGATCTGGAATGTGATTATGCAAACAACCCTTCCTCTCCCTCTGTGCAGGAAGAGACAACCCGTCCCCGATTAATGGCTTCTGCCCAGTGAGATTTCACTCACCGGCACACATTTCCAAGGGCTTACTTGGCCTGCTTCTGTTGAAGAATAAGTCCACTGTCAGCAAAGCCACGGCTGTCCAGTCCTTGTTTTTCTTGCATTGTCAATTTCTTACCTGCTAATTAGCCAGGGATTTTAAGCTTGTTCAAGCTGCCTCTGGCGGAGCTGCCTGCTGTCGCTGCCTTTAAGGGAATTAATGATCAACCCACTGCCTTTCACTTCCAGCGACACGCAGCCTCTGTGGGCTGAAAGGACCGGCCCACTCAGCTGTGTGCAAGTGCCCGCTGCCAGCCAGGCCGGGCTCAGCTCAATCTCTGCAGCCATTTCTCTCCCTCAGCTGTTTACTGCAGCCACAAGCTGTAGGCAAGTCCAAGAGAGTCAGCTCTGTGTGTGTGTGTGCGCGCGCTCACTAAATGCAGCCAAGGCAACAAGCCCCTGCCTTGCCCATGGCAGCCAGCCAGCTGTGGAGACTGCTAGTTGGAAGCAGTACTCTGACATCCTGCCAGGGGAACCAATGTAGCCAGGCCTGACAGGAGTCAACGCCGTGCGGAAAAACAAACACCTCCACAAAGTGGGGGAAACACTATGGGCAACGGAGAGTGTGCTCCACAATCTGCAGCTTCATTCTGGCCACCACCTCTGCTTTTTCCAAGGCATTTTCTCTCCACCTGTGCACTAAGTGGCAATCCCTCAGCATTCTCCAGCGATGACATCTCTAGGAAGCTTCATTTACCCTTATTAACCAGCACATTTAGGGGCTTTATGACAGCCATAAGCAAACCCAGAATATATAAATGGCCTGTGCTTGTAGTGCCAGGGCCTGGCAAATGGGGGCATAAGCTTTCCCTTGGGCTTGATTTCTGAGCCTTCAGTGATTACATGTTTTTGTACCGTAATAGCCCCAAATGAAAACAGATTTGATTGGGAGGGAGCACAAACAGGATCATGTTTAATTCACATTTATTAAATTTTCACAGCTTTGTAATCATATTCAGGAAGCAGGGGGGGAGGGGGACATGACACCATAAAGCAGCAGCCAGTCAAGCCACATTTTCAGCATTATGATGGCCTAACTGCCTCAGTTTTTTTTCTTTTTAATGCTAGTGTAATATACCTGGCCATTCCTTCAGGTATCTTCAAGTGACCTAGAAAGATAGGGAATGACAGGTACAGGCGCAACTTCCACAGTTCTGCCAATGTCACCCTGTTCAGCTATATTTTAATTCACATTCCTTTTTGTGTTGAATTATGTTTTGCATCACATTTCCTATTCTGTGTTCCCATATCAAATAGGTAGGTCCTTCCCACCCCATTCTCCCTTTGTTAATGTTACACAAGAACATTTTTAAAACAAGCAGTGGAATTTGCTAGCTTAACAAAATCCATATTTTTGCTGCTTTTCTCCAATTTTGTAATTGTACATGTTTAGGTCATTGGTCTCTATCCGCATTACTGCTTTTGCAGTGGATTGAATGTAGTACAGTGGAACAAAATGGGAGTGGACTTAGAGCTTCTACCATGCTGTATAAAGCAAAGCCATCTGAAAATGGGCTGAAAAGGAACTCCTATATAAAGCCCTGGCCACAAAACCAAACACTCGGTGAGGCTTTAGAAAGGAATAAGTTGAATGGGCATTGAGGAGTTGTTGAGAGGCAATGGCATGTAATGGTTATAGAACGGGATGAGGACCTGGAAGATCCATATTCTGGTCCTTCCCCCACTGGCCAGTCACCTTCTCTCATCCTGACCTACTTCAGAGGATTATGAGGATAAAATAGGGAAGAGGTAAACCACAAAACCTTTATTATTGTTGTGACCACAGGTCATCCATTCTAGATATGCAAAACTAAAATACAATGGCAAAGGATATAGTATTTACATTTGATGCAAAACAGACTGAAATTCAATTACAATTAAGTGTGAGTTCCTAATCTGTTTTCTGCAGCAATTTTGTCATCTGTTTTCATATTGCAAAATCCTGTTACCGTATTCTGTATCCATGGTTCAAGATGCCAGGAAATGGCCCAATGTTGCTGCACAATATCATGCCCATGTTACCCTGATAATTCCTTTATGTTTGGGTGAGTAGTGCTTAACTGATTAAAAAAAGGAGTCAAATTCTGGGATTTTCCCCTGCTTGGTGTTTCCTAGCACTGAGGCCAAGAGGGTATCCTGTACACCAGCTTAACTGCAGCCCTTAGTGTTGTCAACATTCATGCTGTCCTTTGTTATGCAAAGTCCTTTTTCCTATTGACAACATGGGCATGATATTGTACAGCAATATTGGCAGTTTCCTAGTGTTTTGAATCAAAGCTCAATATCCCACATTCATAAGCCAGAGATTTTTTGAAAAATTGAATTTGGATCAAGAGTGGAGGATATCATTGGTTTGCAGCACCCCACAATCCTAAATGACATAGACAATGGTAAAGGCTGGTGGTCACCACAGATTCAGTCCAGCAATAGTTGAAAGGTCATGTATATTCCTGGATCCAGATATTGTTTGTTATTAATCTGTGAAGTGGGCTCTCAATCAGCTAAAGAATTTCCATGATGATTAAGCTTATCCCCCTAAGATTATGATATAAATCATACAAATGTTGAATTAAATGCAAATAAATGCTAAAATTTAAAAGTAGATGGTTTTTGAGCATCTGCTTGTGGGCCTTTTTGAGATCCTGAGCAAAATGAGGAACTAATTTGCAATTTAATGAGCAAAAACTAGCACTGGTTGATAGCTATAGCGATACAATAGCAGATCAGAATCAGGAAAGTCTAAAAACAAACAAATGTGTCTTCTATATTTCATCCTACCCAATTTGATTGTTCTCCAGCAATTAATCAGCTAAAGTTTTAAGCTACTATACCATACTTGTTGTTTGGGGGGTTAAACATCTCAGGACTCAGATCTGTATCTGAGTATATCAATGTAATATTCAAATTGCAAGTTAATTAATCTTCAAATTAACTTAATTAAAATTTATGTCTGTACGTTTGAATCTTGTCTGTGCACAAGAAGCCTAAGAGAAGCTTACACACAACTATATTGTTTAATTACACCCCAATAGCTATCCATTCATGGTTCCATCGTATGCTCAAATTGCTGATCCATCCAGTCTCTCTCCTTCCATTCAAAATTGTATTAGAAGGGTGGGGAGGGGAGTTTGTGTCTTGTGCTGCCATTCTAACCACATTGATTGTGTTGGCTATTCCAATAAAGCACAAGCACCCAACAAGAGAGAAAAGGAAAAGCTCTGTTAGGATTAATGCAGGGGGTGTGAAGTTAGTAGAACAGCATGTTCTAAAGGGAATATGTATGAGCTTGGAAGTCATAATAGGCTTGGCTGCTCTGATGTCTGCCTATTTAAGATAGTATAAAGGTCTTGCCAGTGATCAGACATGCCCTCAGCAGAATATTATCTTTCTGGGTTTCAAGTAACCTTCCCTCTAATTTTACCACCACTGACATGGTTTTGTCTCGTCTAAATGTGGTTTCTGCTCCTTGCTCTTTCCCTTCCCTTTGAACTTTATAAAAGAATGCAAAATCTCAACTGAAGACCTAATAATTATCTCCCAGGCAAAAATGATTGTTGTTAACCTTCTTCCCTTGATATTTCCAAGGGTCTCAATCAAGCTGTTTAAATCCAGCAAATCAGGATGACACGAAATTTTGCCTTTCCTTTCTTTGTAATTGTAAAGGGCTGCTGCTTCCAGGATACAGAAGCTTCTCCTTTGTTTCTTGTTATCCACCTTTGCCAACCTAACATCTTCCACTTATTTTACTGGTTGAAATCCAGTACTAATTAGCAGCTAGAGTAGGCCCAGTGAATCAGTGGAACCTAGAGGCGTAGACTCCCCATATCCCCACTGGTGCAACGGACTTGCCCTAGTTGTGGCTTAATACAGGATTTCACCTAGCATGCCATAGCCTTCATTCTGCAATTCTCCGGATGTCACCCTGGAAGTATTCAGCCAAGAAGGTTGGAGACAAGGTTAGGGATGACCCACAGCCTGAGGAGGTAGGGACTTAATTTATAGGCCCATGTGCCAATTCAACGCTCTGAGCGTTCAGCCTGGAGGCAGGCGGTGCATCATGGCCTCTCCTAATTTGAAGAGACCCTTGTCCAGCAGGCTGAGGCAAAGAGGCAGTCCCGAAACAAGCAAAACCAGGGAGCTGGACAGGGGACAGATTGGATTTGTCTTCAGTGTGGAAGGGATTGTCACTCTCGAATTGGCCTTCTCAGCCACACTAGACACTGTTCTAAGACCTCCATACAGAGCACGTTACCATAGTCTCTCGAGACTGAAGGATGCCTACTGCTACTGTGCCAATTCAACAGTTGTAATTTAAGCAGAATTAGAATGCATCTCATCCAAGGAAGGGCATCTGTGACCAGGTAGCCTGCGTGGTTGCTAAGTCTGCTGTCCTGGTTCTCACAGTGGATGGGTTCCATGATCTCCCTTGATCTAGTTCTTTCATCATTAAATCAGACCGGACAGTGTTTCAAAAGCAGGACACCTTCAACAGGAGGACTGTCCTCTGTAAAACAAAACACACGGCTACCTAATCTGGAAGATCACAGTGAATCACCCCTGCCCCTGTGTGCACACACTTCTCAGTTTCTGAGTTCAATCGGGGTGGGGTGGAGACCTAAACTTTACTTACCTGCTAAACTACAGCTTTCCAGGGTGTTGTGAAGCAGATCAAGGTCTTTTTTCCAGATTCTGAGATATCACCGTCTTCCTGTTAATGAGCGGAATGCAGGGACCTTCCAGGCAGCAAAACCTCCGAGTTGTGTTATTCGATATATACTGGCACCACTGTTGATGAGGACATGTTGCCTCCAAATCTGATTTTAAAAAGACAGAGAGGGGGATAAAGGAGCTAGAAGCTAGAAATGAAAGGATGGAGCACTGCTGAGAAATGACGGTAGTCTTGTTGGTGGTTCATATAATTATTGCAATTTCAGAGTTTCATCATGAGCATTCGTGAAACTGAGTAGTTTAGAGGAGGAAATAAGAAGCGTCTGACATGTTGTTGTTGTTTTAAAAGATTACACTTTGGCACAGGCATCAAGAAGTTGTGCTGCTCACCATCAGGCATCATAAACTCTATCCAACAGCGGTCTGCAACATTAGTGCAACATTTGACAGAATACTTGCCATCTCAGTATATGCACTAGCCAGGTGAAAATAGTATTTCCTAAACAAATGCAGCTTTGGGGCTGAAGAAATAACTTTGTTCCCCTCAATCAGGTGCTAGCTGGGACATAGGCATTTCAGCATGCTTTCACAAGCATGTATTTGCTGTACTATAAAATCATAAATTTCCTAGAGTTTTGTATTTATTTAGCAGGTGGCAGCAACCCAGCTAAATTGAAACCAAGCTCAATTCTAATTACATGAGGAATTTATAGATTATACTGTATGTACAGTATATCCCAATGATTAATGCCTAGTAAACATACAAAGTTTCTCACTTTTTCCCTTTGTTTGGAATGCTTTACTTCCCTGTTGCTATGCACTTTTATAGTGAGAATTTGAATCTACAGAAACTTCCACCAAGCCTTTAACATATGATTAATCATTTTAAAATAATTGTTAAAGAATTAATTTCCTTTCTCTTCCTGGTGCAAAGAAAGCCGAAGCTTGTTTTGTTAAAGGAGTTCTTTTTAAAGCTGTGTTTTCATATCTGAACATCAGTAAAGAAAGGGGGAAACATGGCTAGATTGACTGGACAGTATGATGCATTGGCATGACATAAATGTTTTCAGTTTTATTATAACTAGGATATCAGTCAATTTATTTTGAATGCTTTTGGCATACGTGAAGGCCTCTGATAGTGTAAATTGTGTCTGTGAGTTTTACTACTCACTGGCATGTCTTCCATACTCCCTGTCCTTCTCTACTTCCTCTGTATGTGTGTGCCCGCATCTCCTTCCTTTGCAAGCCTAGTCATATCTCTGGTCAGTTTCAGGGGCTGCTCCTTGATTCCCTTCTTGGCAAGCATAGAAGTACAGATCTAGTCAAAATATCTCTGGTCAGTTTCATCCTGGGCTGGTGGTTCTCTTCTCTCTTTTTACACCAGATGTATGTCTGTGTGCCTCTCTGGTCAATTTCAGCCCCAGCCCTCTCTTCCTCTCCTCCACCCCTCTCTCTCTCTGTGTGTGTGTGTGTGTGTGTGTTCTCCCAAGAGAAGGAACATGCCACCATAAAAGCCATGTGACTACCATGTAACTATAAATCCAATCCAAAGACTCCGATCCATCATCTGATTAATTTCACTACATCCTCAGTCTCAAACTTTTCATAGCCAAGGACTTCATCTTCACATTATTACCATTTTATGCACAGTGACATCATTATAGGATCTATTTTCAAGTGAAACAGGTGAAAATCGAGTAGTAATTCATAACTAGACTAGGTTCACAGAGTGGGGATCAGAGAAATCAACTTTTACAAAAGTTCCATTGATTCAATGGGCCTACTTTAATTGTGACTTACTACTGGATTCCAACCACTGAGTGAGAGAACAGCCAAACAAGTACAGTTCACAGATAACCTAAGGCTGCAGTGCTATACATACCTAGCAGCAAGTCACATTAGACTCTTTACTTCTGCATAGGATTGTGTAATTAAATGATCATGAAAGAAAAGAAATAAGCATAATAATTTACACACACACACACACACACACACACACATACACACACACACACACTTAATGATCTTTAACTTGGAACATCATGGCCTCTCTGAGTTATCTCTGATTCAAACTGAGATACAGTACCTCCAAATCCAAGCACATTAGAAAATAGGGGAAGCCTCTGGATTTGCTGACTATCTTAACATGTCATAGCCTGAACCACCATTCATTTGATCTGGATTACCCTGTCCTCTGGATTCTGTAACTGCCCTCTGGGAAATAGCACACTTATGACAGAGCAGCTGGAGAAAGCCGAAGCCGAAATGCTTTGCTTAAATACCTCTGTTAGTTACTCTTTTAAAAGTGTGTGTGTGTGTGTGTGTGTGTGTGTGTGTGTGTGTGTGTGTGTGTGTGTGTGTGTGTGTGTGTGCACGCGCGCACACACACGCACACACACACCAGTGTGGGGTAATGGATAGAGTAATGGGCTAGGACTCAGGAGACCTGGCTTCAGTTCCCTGCTCTGTTATGGAAACTCACTGGGCATGAGGAACTGGTAAAACCACTCCTTAAACAAAAAGCTCAATTACCTTGAAAACCCAAATAAGGTCACTGTAAGTCAGTTCGAGCTAGATAGCACATAACAATAAGATGTGCGTGTGTGTTTGTGTTTTGCACAAACACGCAAACATAAGAATGATTAATGAACAGAAGTATTCAAGCAAAACACTTCAACTTCCACATTCATCAGTTGTTCTGCTAAAAGTATGCTGTATATACATATATATTTCTTGGTAGACTTCTCTTGTGGTCTTCCGGAGAGCTCATGTATTAGCGGAACAAATTAAATTTCAATGAGAAGGAGCCACAATTGCACACTCATAAAAAAGGGGGAATGTCTTTTTGGAGAAAATGTATTACAAAGATTTTTTAAAAATCAAAATCAAAATCATTGCTTTTATTTTATTTTATTTTTTCTGATACTCTGGTTGAAACAAACTAACATAAAACTTCTGAAGAAAACTGAAACACCTGGAATGTTTTTTCACAGCCCCAACAACAGGTACATGTAGACCTCCAAAATACCAAAGGGTGATCTTGAATTCCAAGAATGTTTTTTGTCATGTAAACACTGTAGTCTCTTAAGTAACTAGAGCTGGGCATGTGGAACACATTGACTCAGATTTTCCATCAAACATCATTAACTGTTGAAACATACAGTGCACAGAGTACATAAACCTGGAAGCATAATGATCAAGTTACAACACAGAGATATACAACCAGTTACACTTCCATGTTGTTTGTGATGATTTTACATTTAAACACTGAGGGCTAATCTACACTGAGAGCTTTCATGTCATTGTAACATATGGCTCAGTTTTGTGGTGCACACCACACTCCCCAAACTACCATTCTTTGTCCTTAGACTCTTATTCTATAGTCCATTATTAGACCACTATACAGTATCTGGTGATTTAATGTTTTGTTTGTCCATCTCAGTCTTTTTAATAAGGTGCCTTCCTATGAAGTGTGTGATGTCACACAAATACTGTACCTTCCCACAACTCAATTTCACTTCTTCAATTCTCATGCTATTATAGTGTTAATCTATTCACTAGGAAAAAAAATCTTCCTTTTAATATATCACACAATTTTCTATAAAGAACACACAGAGGCAAGCTTTACAAAATAACCTGAGGCATACAGGAATGCAAGCAAGCACGAGTTTTATTGGAGTTTTCCATCCACCCACAATCCAACAGCCACACCTATGTACCATTGACTTTTTACCACTACTGGAAAGAATGACGCTTGACAGCAAATGACACAATATAATTAGCATTAGTCATTCCATATAATGATAGTATGGCAGGGAACAATTATTATCAGATCTGAATAATCAGATTCGCTGCAGTAGAAATAGGCAATATGTATGGATTTTGGATTACAGTTCCCATAATCCCCAGTCACTGGCCACTCTGACTGAGTTGCTAAGAGATATAGTGCAAAATCGCTGAAAGGTACCAGTTTGCCAATCCCTGTTATACAGGCATCTTAATCGAGTAGAATCAAGGTTTTACAGCATATGAATTTTAAAAGCCCTGCTGAACTGTTAATGATAAGACATTCTGAAAATCATTAATTCATAGGGTCAGCATAACTTAGAAGTGATTTGGTGGCATGTGATACAAACATGCCACTCGTCAAAAGAATGTCATGAACAACAATATGTACTGTAGCTACACTTTAACTTTGATGGGCAAAACATACTGTAGTTTACTGTAAATAGTGAAAGAAGCAACTCTCACCTGGTTTATTTATTTACGGGATGCTAGTTTGCAGCCAAGTAAGGTGAGATACCATTTTGTGTAAAATATTCTGACATTCCACAGATTTAAAAGTCAGGATTGGGCAAAGCTGTTGCATTTTCTGGTGGAGGTGGGACATTGGTACTTGGGCATACTGCACATACACTACTAGATGCCTGATACAAATTTATTTACATCTATATTTACCGTATATCTTCAGCGCTACAGCACTGCACTAGGGTATTGATCTTTTTCAGATCACTGAGTCTTAGCATATGTCTGCATCAGGAATTCATGATATATATTTAAAACAGTGAATTGCTTATACACAGCCTTATTGAAATGCCTGCCCTGGCCAGTGTTCGGCTTTTGTCAAAAAGAAAAAAGGGGAAAAAAGGTTAACATTCTCATAATTTCTGTCTTATAAGGAAAAACATATAGAGCTGTCCTTCATATTCATTGTTGACTCATACCTTCTCTGCTTTGAGAGTTTTGATCACTTTTGTAAAAGAAAAAAAAAACTCCTGTATCATGCCTTATCTCTACTGTACGTGGAGGAGAACATACCGTGTACACTTATATGTACAGTATATGGTTCCCAGCAGTCTCCTACAGTTAAGAACTGTTTAGCTTCAACAGTAAAATAACATTACATATCATCAGACCATTCTCTCTACCAGCACCAGTATAATGCTGATCTTGCACATGATTTTTTTCCTTTTAGGAATTCGGACTTTACATGATCCAATTATATTGCTCATTCATGTTTTGTGTGCCTTTTCCTTCCGCCCTACCCCTTGCAAATCTATAAGATGTGCAGCTGGATGTTAACATTTTAGCTCTCACTTTCTAAAACATGAAAGGAAGATCATGCACTCCCTCTATTCACTAAACAACAGAATACTGTAAAAAGCAGTATTGTCACATTGGCAGGGCACAGCTGCCAAAGGAGAAGGTGGCCTTCTGGTGTTCACATTAGGGTACAAGAAATTAATGCATGCTAGGAATGCATTAAAAATATTCACCATGAAGCAGCACAAAATGGAAAGCAGACTAATCAGAGATGTATTCCCGCACACAAATATATGGATCGGCTCAGTGGAGTTTTAATCATTTGCAGAGATCCAGATATTAGTCTGACCTAATTATACTATCCCTCAATTTTCTGTATCTTGGTTCATTCATTAGTCCAGAGAAAGACTGCAGCCAAGAAATAAAAGGAAGACTGAGATTCAGCAGGACAACTATGAAGGAACTAAAACAATATTCTTAACAGTAAATATATGTCATTGAAGAGTGAAGTCATCCATCCGAAGGTACAGTGTTCCTGATTTCTATGCATGGAGGTAAAGAGGATAATGAAAAAAAAGCTGACAAGAAAATTTATTTAAAATTTCATATCGGAAGAGAACGTTACAGATTCCATGGCCCACCCAAAAGACCAATAAGTGGATACTAGATCAGTCAAGCCATCACTCTCCCTAGAAGAAAAAGTGACTAAAAATACATTCGGCCCATCACAAGAAGGCAACTGGAAAAGACAATAATGCTGAGAAAAGTAGAAAGCAGCAGGAAAAGAGGAAGATTGAAAATGAGATGGAATAACTCAATAAAGAAAGCCACAGTCTTTAGTCAACAAGACATGAGCAGAGCTTTTAATGACAGAATTTTTGGGATGTAATTAATTTATAGGTTGCCAAAATCAAAAGGGAAACAAATGACGGGGAAAGAAGCAAAATATGGTGGCACTTGAAAGACTAACAGATTTATCTCCAGGTGAGCTTTTATGGATTGAAATGTACTTCTTAAGACATAAGGAGAACAAATACTACATCCTCTTATGCATATCCCCATGCTGGTTGGCTTCACGACCAGATGAGGACATAGGTAGCAGACAAATAGATAATGCTTTATTAACACAAAAATGGCACTATCAAGCTGTTGATTACAAAGGATTGCAGGCCCTAATCAAGATGATAACTTTTATGACACATAGCTGTGACCTGGATACCACAGAAATGCTGAGAATTGTTTCTGGAACAGAGATCAGGGTCTGCCAGGGGACAGAATTGTTTTATACTGATAAGGTATTACATAAAGCTGGGCCATTAATATATTAAGGCAGGGCCATTAATACATGTCATGTACTAATGCCATGCCAGTTGGAGAATTCGAAAAGCTAGAATTCAGAAAATAAAATGTCCAAGTTCTGGAAAACACTGTTTTCTCCCCCCCCCCGCCTTGATTGTGATAGTGACTGCTGCATGAAATTGTGACCAGAACAGGGAGCCTCTGTTGGTGTAATTCTGACATCAGCAGAAGCGAGTGATGTAAGTGCCATACAAATTTCATTTCCTTGCTATTTTTAAGGTTTGATGCTGGAGTATGTTGTTGTCAGTGTTGCTGTTGTTTAAGGATGATAAGCATTCTCTGGCAGGTGCGGGCCTTTTCAGCTGTGCTACCAAACTGGACAAATGCTTGTATAATCTGTTTTTAAAATGCTCTGCACACCAGGAAGGCTGATCTATCCAGTTTCAGCAACACCTTGCCATCCGAGGAGCACTGTTTTTCTTCTTTGACTTTGTTTCACTATGTGTGGGTGGTCAGTTATTCTGGGAGCTCTGTGTTCACTCGTCCAGCATGGAAACATATATTCCCCACTAAGTGTATCAGAATTTAGAACATTTCTTTTCGGGGGGCAGAGGTTTACAGGTCCCAGAATTTCCCAGTCACTGTGGTCAGCAAGCTTCAGCAGTTTTTGCAGAAAGGTTTTTGCAAAGACTGTGAGCTGACCCAACACTCAGCTTCCCTGAATGCAGATCCTGCTACCATCACACCAACTTCATGCCACGAACCAAGGTTTTGGTATCCCCTTTACCACAAGCATCTGATTCTGTCACAACATGACTGCACTGTATTTGCCAATATAACTTTGGAAAGTCAAGTCCAGAGAGATGCTTACCCTAACATTGCTCCTCTTTTCTGATAACCTTCTAGGGATTCCTGCTCATTCTGAGCCACTTGTCAACCTTCCTCTCGGGAACCATTTGTGTTTTGCTCCAGATTTGCTGAGGAGGCCAGCCTGCTGGAGTCACTCTCAGGTTCGAAGGATCCAAGGATCCGATCTCTGTTTTTCCTGATTGGCTGGCCTGTCTGGAATGGAAAGGCAGCATTCAGCAGCAGCAGGAGGAGGAGGGGACAAAGTTGCTTGGCTGGTTTCAGCACAAGTTCTGCCAGCAACATGTGCTGATGCAATTTAAAACAACATGCAGCCCAAGAGAAAAGCATCTTTGCTGTACATGCATACCAATTATTTGCTTCTCATTGTTAAGAAGAGGTGAAGAAATGTTTTTGGTACAGAAGGGATCACTTGAGAAAAGGTACTTTCTTGTACTAAAACTCCCAGAATTCCCCCTTTCCAGCCATGTTGCCATGCAAAAAGTAACTTTTCCAAGTTTTCATAGGCATGCCCCACATGTCTAAGACAATGTTTAAAAAAATCTGTCAAACCAATTGTACTGATTCTAACAATAAACACACACTTCCTCTTTTAAGGTAATGGCCATACTTCCTCTCTGTGGTGCAGAAGGCAGTTTCTTCTGTACTATCTAGATTGGCCAAGTTAGGTTGAACTTGTCCCTGTAGATGGTGTTTCATCAGGAGACAGAAATCCTTACATGCTCAAAATGTCTGTCACAACGGGAGTTTTTAATACTTCCCATAAATTGCATATTAACATCCTTTATGTTATGATTGGCAATAAGTCTAGGGTTTTGTATCTGGAACACTAGTAGGATTTCAGATTCTGTCAATGTAATGTTTATAATGTAATGCAATGGGACATTAATGTCTACAGTATTTACTTTGACCCTTGCTTTACTTTGAACCTTGACCCTAAGTGCAGCAACTTCTCTTGCCCTGTGTTGAAGGAGGATGTGCCCTCTATAGCTCAGGTTGCTTGGTTGTGTCACCCATCCAATTATAACTGAGAAACAATAACAGCTTTATGTTTCCTTAGGCTGATAAAAGCACATTCTTTTCCCTCTGATTTTGGTTGCCTTCCAAACCTTTCAATTTAAAACTCTCTTGAGCTATATAGCTTTCTGAAAGTGGTCCTCCTAGAGCAGAAGCCAATAGACAATGAATGGTGAATTAAACTCTAGATACTACTGTACTTGTATTCATAGTTTTGTGACACTTAACAGACTTGTGCTTGACAATCCCATTTTAAATTATCTTCGCAAGGGTAAGGTGGACTCTTAATTCTCCTAATTTACAGATATGGAGCTGAAACAGAGCCCTAGACAGGAATTACACATTTCAGATAATCCGTAATTTTTTGTTTTACTGCAGATTATCTGAAAGCAGGTGCAAAGTTGCCTGTTTTACATGTCCTGCTTTAATACGATTTCTTGTATTAAAGCAGGGCATGAAGCAACTGCCAGCCAGCCAGTGCCAAGCAGCTTCCTGCCACTGCTGACAGAGCAGGGTCAGGGCAGCAGCTCACTCGTTTGGCATGTGGGGAAAATGTACCCCATGGAGCTGCTTCCACCCCAGCAAGTACAGTATCACTAGCTGGCCAGTGACAATAGGGCTGGGCAATGTTGCTGTTCTTGCCTGAGGGGGCCCCTCCAGTGGCTACTGTTTTGCTACATGTCTAGTGCTGACCCGGGCACTATCAGTAAATGGAAAGCCTCCCAGTACTGCTGGTGCAGTTTCAAAAAAATGCAAACTGACACCATTTTCAAACTGCCGCAGGGCTCGAGTCATATGTGGTGACCCAAGTCACGTTGCATTATCCTATACATATAGTAGCAGCTCAAGTCTGCCAGCACCTAATTTACCAACTCCCAGCCTATTGCACTTAAAAGTATTAATAAGTCATAGGCACTGAGGTATAGGTGGCCATGTGTCCTCCTTTAGGGAGGACAGTCCTCCATTTGAAGAGCAATCCTCCTTTTGGGTAATGCATTTCCTCATGGAAGTGGCCAACTTATGCCTACTGAGTTTCCCTGGGCAAGCAGGGAAAGTAGAAGCATTGATTGCTAAATGTATCACATTTTTAAGGTAAAATAGTTTGGGATAGGGGATCATTTTGTAAGAAAATATGCAAACCAATTAGGTATCCTTCAGTCTCAAGAGATTATGGTAATGTGCTCTGAATGGAGGGCTTGGAACAGTGTTTAGTGTGGCTGAGAAGGCCAATTCAAGAGTGACAATTCCTTCCACACTGAAGACAAACACAATCTGTACCCTGTCCAGCTCCCTGATTTTGCTGCTTCCGGGACTGCCTCTTTGCGTCAGCCTGCTGGACAAAGGTCTCCTCAAATTGGGAGAGGCCATGATGCAATGCCTGCCTCCAGGCTGAACGCTCAGATGTCTAGGTTTCCCATCTGTTGAGGTCCATTCCTAAGGCCTTCAGATCCCGCTTGCAGATCTCCTTGTATCAGTCTCCCTTTGGGGCGATTTCCCTGCACTAATTCTCCATACAGGAGATCTTTTGGAATCCGACCATCAACCATTCTCACAACATGCCCAAGCCAATGTAGACATCGCTGTTTCAGTAATGTAAACATGCTAAAAATTCCACCTGGTTCTAGCATTACTCTATTTGGAATGTTGCCCTGCCAGGTGATACCAAAAATGCGTTGGAGACAATGCATATGGAACATGTTCAGCTTCCTCTTCTGCTATGCACAAAGGGTCCAGGACTCACTGCAGTACAGGAGTGTACTCAGGACACAGGTTCTATAGACCTGGAAGATGCAAACGAAACTCATAGATATAATGGTTGATGCATGGTGGGAAGGATATGGCGCTGCATGCTAATTTTGTATGAACTATAAATGTAAGGTCTGTCCCAGGACTGAATGTTCTGCACTGCTCAGATCATTCCTCTGAAATAACTGATTGTTGCCGAGCTAGATATTTCAGCAAAATTACAGTAACCTCTACTTATTTTCTTTGTGTACATGTGTGTGTGTGTGTGTGTTCCTTTTCAGTAAGCTGAAGAAATACAAGACATAGAACATTTCAGAGAATGATTAAACATTATGCCTTATTTATTGATTTGATTTCTGTCCCACCTTTCTCTCAGTGCTGTGTCCCAGGCTGGCTACCTAGTCATAATCTTGTGTACTATGGTGAGCAGTAGTGTATTTCCACTTATAGTAATACTAATTGTGATGATATTTACATATGTAAGTTTAAATTGGCATACGTACATTTAATGCAAAAATAGCCTCCTATTTTGTTAAGAATGCCCTCCTCTTTGTTTCTTTGTCTTTTTTTTTCCAGTGATGTCTGTCCACCATTTTGGCAATGGTGTAGTGGTCACTCTACTGTAGCAGTGGGAGAAGGCAGGCCTAGGGAGACCACTGCCCCGGGTGACAGCAAAGGTGTGGAAATGAGCCAAGCCTTCATTGTACACATGAAGTGTCCGACAAGTGGCTAAGAGCATCCAATGAACTGATCTTGATGTGGGGGCGCTCACTACACTGGTCCATGCGCTCGTAATCTTGAGATTAGACCACTGTAACGTGCTCTACGTGGGGCTACCTTTGAGGCTAAAGCGGAAGCTCCAAGTGGTGCAGAATGCAGCAGCCAGACTCCTTAGTGGAGCGAGAAAACACCATCACATTTCTCCTATCCTGGCCGCGTTGCATTGGCTGCCCATTCGGTTCCGTGTTGACTTCAAAGTTTTGATGCTTACGTTTAAAGCCCTGCATGGTTTAGGACCTCGATACTTGGCGGAACGCTTACTCCCACCCAGTTCTACCCGTGTCACACATGTGAGCCAGGAGGTGAGGCTGAGGAGCCTGATGCCGATGGAGGCCCGGAAGGAAAAGACAAGAAACCGGGCCTTCTCAGCGGTGCTCCTCGCCTCTGGAGTAACTTAAATCCCGAGATTCGCGTGGCTCCCTCGCTGGAGAGTTTTAAGAAACAACTGAAAACATGGATGTTTAGGCAGGCCTTCCCCCCTCCCAGTTAATTCTTAATTTTTTTTCCTTTTTATCTGTTATAATTTATCTTGTTCTCTTGCCATCTTGGAGAAAATTTTTCTTTCTTTTTTTTCTAATTATGTTAATTATGTTATATATATATGCTTGTTTTATATGTTATGTTGTAAGCCGCCTAGAGTGTTCGCGACGAACAGATAGGCGGGGGATAAATGGAATAAATAAATCAATCAACCAGTCAATCAATCAATCAATCAATCAATCAATCCATGACTTGGTAGGGCATGAACAGTTTTTCTGCAGCGGGGGCATTTCTGCACTATGTTGAATGGCTAGGTATCTTGCTTTGCAGGTTTCCAGCCCCTGCCTACTCAGCCTCTATGAGATCACAAGGGCCTGCCTCCCTCCATGTGATGATTTGGCCAAACACTAGACGCTGTTCCAAGTCCTCCATACAGAGCACGCTACCATAGTCTTTCGAGACTGAAGGATGCCTACTATTACTATCAGGGAATGGGATACTATCAGCCTGGCAGTGCAGTGGTTCTCACCATTTTGTATCTTTCTGTATCTGTGTGATCAGGCTAATGAAGAACCTAGGCCTCAAGAGGAAAGAAATAAAAAACAAAACAAAACAAAACACTGTTCCCAAAAAGGAGAGTGAACTAGGGAGAAACACATTGTTTCTATGCCATAAGGTCACAGACGGATAGTTTATGGCTAATAAATATCAGCAGGAGGTGGTATATCACACTTGCAAAAACACATGGGCACTGAGGGAGAGCAAGTACTTCGCAGTTGTTATGGAAGTTCCCTTTTTCATGTGAACTATGAAAAACGATGTACCCCTGGTGGAGCCTAAGCACTGCCATAAGGCATAGGAGTCAACTGGCTGTGCCCAAGGCTTCACAGAGTGTGAGGGGTTTGAACAGGGGGCTTAAAGAATGCATGGCAGGCAGTTATTTCCTCCACAGGACACCAGGGTGACACACTGTCTTTCCACGGAAGCCAGTAAATTCTTCAGTGGCTCACTGTATTTGAAGAAGTACTGCTTTCTCCTGTAGCGATGGACACTCTGGAAATTGTTAATGCTCAACATGGCTATGTTAGGGTGTGTTTTTTTTTTAAAAAAATGTGACTGAGCCCTATGTATTTTAAACCTCTACTCAACATGTGGCAAAGGAGTAGTTCCATATATTGGTTGCTTCACTCATGGCCAAATGCAGAAGTATGATTTAGCAGTTCTGTTGAGTTCTGGCACGTTCATCCTCCTTCCGGTTGGAAATACAACTCTGGGAATGTTACATTTGAAATATATTATCAAGGTCAATTTGTATAACTACCCAGACAATATCATCCCCATTTTGCAGTAATGTCAAAGCAGGACTGCAACTGAATACTGTATTAAGAAGACAATAATCATGATGCCAGAAAAATACACAACTTTAATGTTGACAATGAAGAAATTGATATAATTAGAGCTTTTGTTCAATCATTGATCCAAATGGAGAATGCAGACAGGAAATCAGAGGATGGCTGTGAAGTTTGCCAAGCTCAGACATTCTTGCATAACATAAATGCTCACCTCTTGTATGTTTTTATTAGTCCTCTACTTTCAATGAATTCACTCCACACATTATATCTGCAGACCACCACACAAACCACATTACAACTGTGCCAAGAAGACATACTGTGTAGAAAGGAACTAACTCTAGGAAGTGGGACTGAGCCAAAACATTCATCCTTTCACCTTGTTTTGTTTTTGTTTTTATTTTTGTAAATAACTGGGATACAATGTCCATGCTGACTAGATGATTCCAATAATTGTATTATAAAAAGTAAGTTTTCTAAACTCTGATCAAGTCATGTACATATACACACACACCGATCAAGCTATGTGTGTGTGCATGAAAATCCAACAAAAACACAATCACATTTAGATTGTGAGCTAAAATTTACCTTTGTGTTCTTTTTCTCCTAGCAATTGACCAAAAGAAAAGACACTTTTTTTTTAAAGAATCGTGCAATTTCTTTTCTGGTCTGCTTGCAACCTACATCTGTAGAAGTAGTCCTTTTATGTTCCTCATTTGGAAAGTTTTCTCTCATTCTGCAAGTCATCCAGTTTCATTCACACAGACTGGAGAGTTGCAGTCAACTAATTTCACTCTCAGATTCTCACGGAGCAATAAGATGTCAATGTAAAGATGTTTTCTCTGAGCCTTGTATCAGTGCTGCTTATTTTATTCAACCAAGACCAAAAGGTGACTCCTTACTCGCTGGACAACTGTGAAGTTCATGGAAACATGAGGAACAGGACAAAAGTTCTTTGCTACAACAGGAACTTAAATGAAGTCCCAGCTCATCTGCCAAGGAAAGTGTTCCTCTTGGATTTGTCTGGCAATAACATTACCTATCTGGGGAAGAATGCCTTCTGGAACCTCAATCACTTGCAAGTTCTGAATGTTTCTCAAAACAAAATTGTTCACATAGAAAAAGGTGCATTCATGTCCACAAGTCATCTGGAGATATTGAACCTCACTGCAAACCAGCTTCGTCTTCTCTCCCGTTCCACGCTTGATGGACTCACAAAACTCACCGTCTTGCTGCTTCGCCACAATCAGATAGACAGGATTGAATCCTCTGCCTTTGCCCACCTGCAGAATGTAAAGGTAATTGATTTATCTTCAAACCAATTGCATACCCTTAATGCTGTGCATGCTGTGTTTAATGTGAAGTCTTTGGAGGAACTGCACATTGCAGACAATGGCTTGCAGAACGTCACAACTGAAGAGATTACCAGTATACCTGTGATGCTCCGTAAACTGGATGCATCCCATAACCCAATTTCTTTATTTGGCATTACATCCTCAGTTTTGGAAAATATTATTTCACTTGATTTATCCTTCTCTAGACCCACAGTCTCCATTGTGTGGCTGATACAAGATTCCTGCTTTTTAAAAGGATTAAACACATTATATTTGGGAGGGATAGCTATGAAACCATCGGGTATCTCCAAGGTGATCCAAACACTGAATTGCTCTTTGCTCCAAGTGATCCACCTAGACCATCTGAACTTGACTGAGTCAGATGGCCTTATAGAGCAAGTGTGTTTACAGCACCAAAATGTAGAGACTCTTAACTTATTAGGCAATATGTTTACAAGTGTTAATGCAAGAGCTTTTGAAAACTGCACACATCTAAGACACTTGAATATGGCATTTAATAAACTGGAAGTGCTGCCAGCAAGCTTGTTTAAGCCACTAAAGTATTTGCAGCTTCTGTCTTTGGCAAACAACAAATTCACAGTGGTACCAAATGCTACTTCTGCAGTGACATCATTAGAAAGCCTTGATGTTAGTTTTAACCGGATCAACAGGATTTTCCCATATGACTTTGCCCATCTAAAGAAAGCCAAGAGTATCAACATTACAGGGAACTATATATCTCATGTCTATTCAGACTTTTTTACTGACCTGTGTGGATTGCAAGAATTGGACTTGGGAGAAAATGCTTTAACAGACATTGAAGAACCTTTTTCAGTCAGCCTGAAGACACTTAGGACTCTGATACTACGCCAAAATAAAATGGATTCCATAAAGAAAGGAATTTTTAAGAATCTCACTGCTCTTCAGCTTCTTAATCTGGCAGACAACCAGATTGTCACAATAGAACCAGGAGCCTTTGAAGGTCTCAGCAATTTGCAGACACTTATTCTTGGAAGCAACAGGATCACCCAGGACACTTTACAAGAAGGGACTTTCCAAGGGGTGAGCAATTTGGTTGATCTTGAGATTTTTAGCAATGACATCAGTTACGAGTCCCCCAAAGAGCTCACTAATCCACCTTTTCAGCTTTTGAAGCTCTTAAAGAAACTCTCAATAAATAGCCAACGTCATAATGGACTTAGACATTTTCCAGTTAACTTCTTGCAGGGATTGAAGTCCATTGTGCTAATCCATGCTGGTAATTTGGCAATCTCTTTCTTAGATCCCAACACTTTTAAATACACTCCTACCCTTCAAGAGCTTGATCTGAGTGAAAATCAGCTTAGTTCCATCAGCAATACACTATTCACACCTATGCCAAACCTTACAGAACTCCATCTTAATAAAAATAGACTAAATTCTCTCAGCTTTGTTTCCCAGGCCAACTTCTCAAGACTGACTCTGCTCCGATTAGCAGGAAACCAAATAGATATTGTCACAGAAAAGCAGATAAGAGCAATGCCATTTCTTCTTTTCATAGACCTCAGGCAAAATCCTTTCAGCTGTCGCTGCAGTAACCAAAAGTTCCTCATGTGGTCCTTAAAAAATCCTAAAACTCAGGTCCTCTACTTCTCAGAGTATACCTGTGCCTCTCCTCCAGCCTATAAAGGAAAGAAACTACAGGCTTTTAAGACATCCTCTTGTACATTGAACCATGATTTTATTCTGTGTATCACTAACACAGCAGCAGTCATGTTACTGATGCTTATCTGCTTCTGTTGTCAATGGAGATGGAACATGATCTATGCTTACCACCTACTGCTTGCTTATTTCATTGACAAGAGGCAAAAGCGGAAGGGTCAAGGCAGGGAATATGATTACGATGCTTTCCTTTCCTACAACACTCATGATGAAAAATGGGTGATCAATTACTTTTTGCCAGTGATGGAAAACCAATATGGTTGGAAACTCTGCCTGCATCACAGGGATTTTCAACCAGGGCGAACTATCCTGGAAAACATTGTGGACAACATCTATGCCAGTCGCAAGACCATTTGTATAATAAGTCACCACTACCTAGAAAGCGAGTGGTGCTCTAAGGAGATCCAAGTGGCATGCTTTCGGCTCTTTGATGACCACAAGGATGTCTTGATTCTAATTTTCCTGGAAGACATCCCCAGATATTATCTGTCACCCTATTACAGGATGAGAAAACTGGTGAAGAATAAAACATACCTTAAGAGGCCCCAGGATGAGCAGGAAATGCCACTGTTTTGGCATAAACTCAATATGGCCATGAAGACTGGGGAAGAAAAAAAGGATGAAAATCCTATTTTGACCGCATTTGTTCCTGTTGAACTTCCATAAAGAGCCTGTGGGTCATCTATTGATAGCAGGGATGAAGGTCTTGCCAGCTACCAGGTATTCTTAGATTACAGCTCTCATCAATCTTAGCCAGCACAGAAAGTGGAGAGTCATAATGGGAGATGTAGTCGAACAATGTTTGCAGGGCCACACATTCCCTGATCTATAGTAGCCCTATTCTGGCATTCAGAAAAGCCTCAAAAATAGTTAGACAATTTCCCCTCTTGTAGAAGCAAAGCAAAAGCAAAAAGCAAAGCGAGCTGCTTATATACCGCCCCGTAGCACTTCAAGCACTCTCTGGGCAGTTTACAAATTAATTATGCAGGCTACACACTGCCCCCCCCCCCCAGCAAGCTGGGTACACATTTTACCAACCTTGGAAGGATAGAAGGCTGAGTCAACCCTGAGCCGGCTACCTGGGATTGAACGCCAGGTCATGAGCACAGTTTGGCTGCAGTACAGCAGTTTAACCACTGCGCCACGCGGTAGAACCAATTAGAGTGTGATTTTCTAAAAATCTGTCAAAAGTAAATGCTACAGAGTTCACTGGGGCTTTTTCTTAGGCAAGTGTGGGTATTGGATGACAGGCAGATGGACATAAAATAAGAACAGCAGGCCAAAATGTCTAGGTTGCAGAATCACTATACTGTATAGCCAACCAACCTGGCATTACAGTAGCCATAGAAAGTGAGCAAAATTCTTCCAGCTTCTGTGTGGCACTGTCGCGCAGGATAATGGGGTTGTACCTCAGCTCTCCCAAATCACTGAGCAAAGTTGTGGCTTCTGGAAATATTTAGCTTCAGAATTTTGTTTACCATCCTGCTGCTTGAATTATTTTCATGTTTATGTTTGCTAATAAGAAAAGGGGCGGAGGGGAGAGAATACATTTTTGTGGGTGAAGGAGAATTACTTGGATTTTTAAATCTATCTTTGATCATCATTGTTCATACTCTTCTGTCATCTCAATTGTTAAATTAATTGTAAAACATAAGTATTGAAAACAATATTTTAATATATGTGACGGTTATTAATCTTGAAAATAATAGCCATCCTTTTGGCATGACATCTTTCTGTGCAGGACAAGGTTTTCTGCAACGGTAAAATTTGAAGTTGTCACATTGTGGCAAAGGGGCTTAAAAAGTACTTATCTGGGGATGAAAATAATGTATAATAGGCAGAGTTTAGAGACAATGTCTATGAGAAAAAAAACTTCTCAAACCACTTCCTGTTTCAGATATTTCATAGTCTTCTAAATCTTATAATAGAGCATTACTCAGACTAATGACCCCGCCCCATCTGTATGTTGGGCTACAGTTCTTATCTGGTGGTGGTGGGAAGCTGCCACAATATATGTTGTGGCAGGGAGGAGGAATCCAAAGGAAGCTGTGTGGTCATTACACAATACAAAATATATGTTGCTTCAGGAGACAGAGAAATCTCCTGATTGAACCACATGTGACACAAAACTCTTCTAGTTTGCTTTCAGGCTGCCTTCAACTGATCAGCATTCTACAAGTCTGCTCCAGCTTGCTTTTTTTCGTCGTCGTTTAGTCGTGTCCGACTCTTCGTGACCTCATGGACCAGAGCACAGCAGGCCCTTCTATCTTCCACTGCCTCCCGGAGTTGTGTCAAATTCATTCTGGTAGCTTCGATGACATTGTCCAACCATCTCATCCTGTTGTCTCCTTCTCCTCTTGCCTTCACACTTTCCTAACATCAAAGTCTTTTCCAAGGAGTCTTCTCTTCTCATGAGATGGCCAAAGTACTGGAGCCTCAGCTTCAGGATCTGTCCTTCCAGTGAGCA